ATTAATAGGTGATGTGATTCGTACAATTAGTAAATTTTGGAACCTGGTGCCCAACGGCGTATTCTCATCACGACGGTTAGGATCAAACGTCAGTTATTGCACACACACATACACACACACACACACACATACATACATACACACGCTCGATGTAACTATATAAATATCGATATCAATCTGTCAGTCTCGTGTCTCTTTGATGGTACTTAAATGAAACGGCCCCTCGGGTCTCTATGCATTCAGCGGCGCAACGTCAATAATGTTCTCTAAAAAAGCGAAATATATATATATATATAAGTTAATAATAATAAAAAGAAAGAGTAAATAAATAAATAAATCTTTTCTTCGTAGCACACGTTCCTCCTTTGGCCCGACATGCGACTCTCGAGCACGGATCTTTTGTACATAAAAACGCCGCGAACGCGGGTGCGACGCGCGCGAGAGGTAATAATTAATTAATTAATTAATTGACGCTCTGTCTTGTCGCAAGTCGTGAGCCGACCTTGCGTATAAACTCTTTGCTCGTTTATATGCGATGTATTTTTGTGAACAGTATTGAAAGTGCTACCGTTGTACAGTTATCATATGATAAATGTACTAATGATGTACCTATAATGTACATAGATATATTTAATTAAAGTGAATATGAATTTGTGTAATCCTCAGGTGCTCATTATCCATCTATTTCTCTCTACTCCATATTCCCGTTTCCAGTTCGAAGATTCGAATATCCCTGGATTCTGCGAGAGATACCGTCGAATGCGACCCATCCTGATTAATGTCATCTGTCTCATCTTTGTCGTGTTAACTTACTGATAAGAGACGCCAAGGTAAATTCACATTCAACTTACCGAAAATTCAGAATCGCTTCATACGCGAAGTAAATGCGAATTGAAGGAGAAACTAGACTATGAGTTTGTTTCGTTACCTTATTTCGATACGTTACAGCGTGTTTGTGACGCTGAGGTCAGATCGAGATAGTATTTGGCATAAAAATATTATTATTGATGTAAGACATAATTATCTCGTAAAATATTCCAGACGCTTCAAGCCATATCTCGCTACATTTATATTGTCGTTCGAGCTGTTTAAAGAGATCTGACGTAACGAATACATTAGGTAACGCTGAAAATACAAACATAAAATAATTAACATACGAATGCACTTAAAGTAGTAAAATTATTTTTAAAAATGTACTGCATTTTTCTCAAAGCAAAAATCGAAAAATCTTATTCGAACAAATTTTTCTATCGCGTACGTACAAAAATGAATTAATTAAAGAATCTTTGCAAAATTATAAAATCTGAACGGAAGAACATAACGGGAAGATTAAATCTAAACATTTTCGAATCAATCGCCGAGTCGAAAGATTATGAGATCAATACCGGAATACGTTCCTGTCAATTCCTGTTAATCCGGTCGTTTTTGCAGAGCCGCACAAAGGGACCGTGAATCGAACTTCGCTGTCTCGATACGATGGGGACGCTTTAAAGCGTAGGTATTGTTTGATTATGGATAGGATTGACGTTTCGCCGGTGCGATCGTTCAAAGGAGTCTAAATGCATATCGATGTGCATATATATAAGAATAATAAGGAAATTGCTGAAATTATTCGACTGTTATTCGGATAGAATTAAAAAAAAACAAATCGTTATGAGAACAAGAAATCTATCAATTTTACTAGCATATAAAATACAAACTATACAAAAAATTTGATAACTATATTTTATATTTAAAAAAAATGTATGAACAATGATGCATAAAATTGGACTTGGAAAAATAGCCTTATGTATTTTTGCATTATATATTAATAAAATTGATAGAATAGAATTTTTTATACTTGAAGCAGTTTGATTTTTGAAATTCTATTCATTTGTTTGCAAATAACAACCGAATTTCAACAATTCCTCAATTGATATCATTTATTTAAAAAGTCATGTATATACATATTTATATAATTATATAGATAACACACACACAAGAGAACAATTTTACAAATCTGATCACATTCATTTTTTTCGTATAAAACGCGAGACCGCGTATCGACACGTTATGACATTTACACTTAAAAGTTCGTCGTCGTGAGAGACGATAATGGAATTATGTCGTGATTTCAAAAATGAAACAAGTGCATCTCGTTTTTCTTAATTGAGAAATACATGTACCCTCTTTTATAGCATTTTCGCGCATTATTTTATACCGAATCGCGCTTCTTTCGTGCTGCTTTTTCCTCTCTTTCTCCTCGGTATCTTTGCTAGACTTTATAGCGCACGTGACTCGGAAGTAAAATGATTGACGGGGACCAAGCGGAAATACGCGGGCACCGGTTCTACGTGCGTTACAAGCAAATTTGCAATTTCGAGAAAATAATAGCGAAAATAAGTCGGCGAACAACTTTGCGCGGCTGTCCAAGTTTTAAAACGCGTTTAAGCTTAGACCGTACGGTTCTGGATTATCGGAAATGGTATAAAATCGACATTATACGTGATATAGAGACTGTTCTCATCTCTAAAACAGTATCTATCGATTTCTGTGGGAAATGAATTTATTGGTGTTTAAAATTATAAATTACAAATTTTTGAGGTAAATATATGCACTTTGTAAACAGTAAATTAATTGAATTAAAGAGAAAAAAATGTAGATTAATTAATGCATTTAAATGAAAAATGATAAACTATTTTTAATACCTACAAAATTATATGTGGCTAATGGAAAGTCATATTAGACTCCCACCGTCTGTGCCTTAATCATGCAAACGATGCCAAGGAGTCCACCCTCTCCTCATGATGAGGAGAATGAAGAAGTAGAGATAATTTCTGAGAACTACCCTCCAGCTCTCCCTTCATGAAGATACACGACAAAACGTGGAGGGAGCCAAGAGTCGAGAAGATTCCGAGAACCAGAAGGAGAAAAAGGTGAAGGAAGCCACAAAGAAAAGAAAAAGAAGGACAAAAACAAGGAGAAAAGCAAAGAGAAAGATTCCGGGAGGAAAAGAGCGCACAAAAAAAGTGAGGACCAAGACCCTAAAAGGTTGGCCCATTTGCTATCATAGAAATGTCGCCAAATTCTACGCGGCAGACAGAACAGGTGAACTTGCTAAAGAAAATTTTTGAAGCTGTTAGAGGCCTTAAGTCTTCTTTAGATGACCTGAACAGGAAAAGTGATACTTATTACTTTGAATCAGGAATGAAGATCAGACTAGAATAGGTGTAGCTGAGACACGTATTGCGGGCTTACAGCAAGCATGTATTGAAGCAGCAGCACAGAGACCAAGTCAGACCTTGGCAACAGTTACTCTTGCAACAGCCAGCACTTCGACATACACTCCAACACCTCATTTCAGTCGAACGAGACCTTCCACAACAAGAGGCCTTGGGCTAATGAAAAATGAATTGCTGGTTCATTACAAAGTTCCTGTTGGAATCGAGAAAAAAGAATACCCTTTCCTTGTTCGAATTGCAGCTAGTAGCTCCTTCCGTCCTGATTTATCGATTTGATATTACTCTACTCTGCAGGTAGAATTTCTGAACGTAGCCGTAAATGTGATGAATTATATGATTATCATTATGAATGGTACTTATTATAAACATGAGGCTCAATTCTTATGCATATGAAAACTATCGATAGTTATGAATAAATTATTTTCCTTGTCGACAACTATCAACTGTTAGTGCTTGTCGATAGTATCGATAAAAATCGATAAATTTTGCATCCTTGCCAGTTACAGAACAAAAGACTCTGACTCTCTCGATCTTCGACCGAGTGGAGTATATCTTTCTTGACACTGCAGAAAAGACTCTCTATTTTCTACCAAGTAAGGAATAATGCAGTCCTTTCCATACAAATAAAAAGGTTTCTATTCTTATAATTTTTCTATTTCCTTCAAAGTCAACCTAGAAAAGGCTGCAAGGTGGGAGCTTACCGGGGAGAAGCTTGTGTATATTCACGAGTATTTGCAAGAGGTCAGAGTCTATATAGCGACGAGAAATTTTTAGAAGTCCTAAAAGAACATGGACAATAGTTTCCCCTCGCATGAACATTTTTGAACGAATGAACATTATCAAACTGGTCAGGGATCGAAATGTGCTATTTGTTCTCTCTTCGAGTTGATTTGAATTATCGAGACAATTCAACAGTGGCAGTCAAGTTTGAGTGGTGACATGGACCGGGAATATGAATCCTTTATTTTTTAGATCAAAGCCAATAGCTTTAAAGAATGTGTCTCTTAAAGAAAAATCGAAAGTTATATTGTTAAAATATATCTCTCTGTTAAAAAATTTCCAGTATATTCAAATTTAAAGAAATAAAAATTATATAAATTATATATAGAGATATTATAACGTTATTATTTTAAGAGAACAAAGTTTAAATAAATGCAAATATAACGCAATCTATCAATATTGCATTTTTGTCAAAAAAATTTATTCGATGATAAAAAATTATTTAAACATTAAATATTTTCGTTTAAAGATTTATTTTTTATGTATTTTCCTTAAATATAATGTTCTTTGAAATGTCTGAATTGATTCCAGGAAGTATTCATTTAAACTTTACATTTATTTCGTTTATTATTACATTTATTTCCGTTTCTCATTCTGTTATCACTAATATTATGCAACACGCTGAAAGCCTGGAAGATTACATTACATTTTTTCAGTACATCAAATGTGAAGAGAACTGAAGAATGCGTTCGGAAATCATACCGTAAGGTAAAGTAGCATTTAATTTACCAATCAGAAGCTAAGATTTCTTTGTTCTGATTGGTCAATTAAATGTTGTTCTCTTCACGAGTAGAATTTCCGAACAAATCCTGAATAAAGTAAGAGAGGAGAGATTTAATTACAATCTCGTTCGCCAGATGTCGCGTCATTGTTGGATATGTAATCAGAAATCAAATACTTGGATCTGTTCTTTTCAGCTACACTGCTGCACTAGTGCAATAAGTTAGAAAGAGACAAACATACTTTCTTTCGCTCTAAGTAATTGCACTAGTGCAGCAGTGCAGCTGAAAAGAACAGACCCATTGTCGCGTTATCTGAAAAGAAAAGATTCTCTTATCATTTTGGTACTTCGTTTACACGTTCAGATTCCAGTTACTCCAACTTTTCTGTTTTACTCCGTTTTAGTCAAAGCCAGTTTTTTGTAGCTTGTTCATTCAGTAAATCTACTGAAAAGCTACTGCTCGCTTGTACATACATACTGTAACTTGTCACGCAACAACAAATAGTTACGAGCATTGGATAACGATGACACTGGAGGCGATAAAATGGAACAGAGAGGAGAATAAGCTGGTAATTCTGGATCAGACGCTATTACCAGATATGACCCTCTATCTTCATATAAAGGATGTCCAGGATGGTTGGAAAGCTATCAACATGATGAAAGTAAATTTACGAATGTTTTTTTCAAAATATTTTGCGATATTTATCAGAATAAATTATCTAATATTAATATAAAATATAATAAAATAATGTTACTGTATCTCTTTCATATTACAATCAAGATATACTTTTTTTTTTATTAATGTGTCCCCCAACTTATTTCGATAGTTATTAACGCTTTATATCAATTTTATACTTTTTAATATGTTTTGTCAAATTGATAATATTGTTTTCTAGCAATTCGTTGGGCTGAATACTATAGAAAAATGATGTTTCATTTTGTACAGTTATTTACATAAATTTTATAAATATGATTGAGAGTTGATTACAATATATTTAATATCTTTAACATAAGAAATATGTTTAGTAATTATTTATAATTGCATTTTTAATTTTTGTAACATATATAGGTACGAGGTGCACCAGCCATAGCTATTGTAGGCTGTCTCAGTTTAACATCGGAGATTATTAATCATAAGGAATTCAAAAATAAGCAAGCCTTTTTTGATTTTATGAAGGCTAAATTAAATTATCTTGTAACAGCACGTCCTACTGCTGTGAATATGAAAAAAGCAGCAGATGAATTTATAAAGTTGGCAAATGAACTTTACAATGATTCTAATTATTCATTATCTTCTATGAAAGACAGGTATAATTTCATGGTACTTTGTACTTTTAAAGAAACATCTAAATAGTATGATTTATATCTCATTTTGAAATTATATTATAGAATTGTAAATGATTTTGAAGGGATGTTGGAAATTGATGTGAAAGTCAATATGGCAATTGGAAATAATGGTGCACAGGAGATTTTATCGAAAAATGCATCTAAAGATAGTATCATAATCCTCACACACTGTAATACTGGAAGTCTCGCTACTGCAGGATATGGAACAGCTTTAGGCGTTATCAGATCTCTTCACAAAATGGAAAAGCTCAGTAAATATAACTTGTTTTCTTGAAAAGGTTATCTCGGCTGGATAATTAAGTTATAGACCCCAATCATTATTTATTTTTTCAGTTCATGTCTATTGTACCGAGACTAGGCCTTATAACCAAGGTGCCCGTTTGACTGCTTATGAATTAGTGCATGATAAAATACCGGCAACTTTAATTTGCGATGACATGGTTGCCGCGGTATTGAAAACGAAAAAGATCACAGCAGTTGTGGTAGGTGCAGATAGAGTCACTCTAAATGGCGACACTGCAAACAAAATTGGGACTTATCAGGCAAGTGTCTTAATCTTTAAATGTTATATAGTGCGATGAATGATATTAATCTAAAAACAATTTTTAAAAATAATTGATTAAAATACAATAGCACATATATTTACATAGCTATCTATACTAATTACAGATTGCGATTCTCGCCAAATATCATAATGTTCCTTTCTATGTGGCCGCACCACGGACATCTATAGATACTAATATGTATAAAGGTGATGACATAATCATCGAGAAGCGATCCGCTGAAGAAATAACTCACATAAACGGGAACAGAATTGCAGCAGAGGGAATAGAATGTTGGAATCCAGCGTTCGATGTGACACCAGCAAGTTTAATTACCGGGATAATTACAGAAATTGGTACTTTTTCACCGGAAGAATTGAAAAAACACATTTGAAAAAGATGAATGCACGAATAAAAATTTTATTATATAATAAAAAATATATGTGCTTACGGATGCATTTATATGTGGGTGCATATACCAATTATAAATATCAAGATTCAAGATATTTAATTTTATTGCGTAAGTACTGTGCCATCATGAAGAAAAAATTGTATGATATGAAAACTCAGGGAAATTATTTACTATATTTAAAGAATTATATTGAAATCATAATCCAAAAGAGGCTATAAAATTAAAAAAACTATTGTAATGTTTAATGGATGCGATTTCAATATTTGCCTTAAGAAGTTACATAATTTTGTATAATACTTTGCTTGAATTTCTAAGGATGTTTAGCACAATAATGTGATACAGTGTATGCTATTGCCATAAGTATCAAGAGATTTGTATTGAATAAAAAGAAGCAAATTTATTATATCTTTGATACCCGAAATATGCATATTTATCATGCCTTACAATTGCCATATCATAACATCCAAAATTCAAATATTTAAGTTTTTACTAGTTATTAGATATATGATTGTAAACTCCTCAATCCTAAATTTCTTAATCCGTGAATCACATATTTATAAATCACATTCCTTCCAAATCTCTTTACATCCTTAATATTCGAATCCTTAGAAATTCTATCATGATTTTCGAAGCAACAAATCAATTTACTTCACAACATTCCATAAAAATGAAAGAGTATGCTATTTATCGTATATATAATTATGTTTATATTCGATTTGCAGTTTGCGCAGTAACGTATGATAAACACTCTAACTTATGCGAAATTATCCGTATCTATGATACCAACAAGTATCGTCGATACTTGTTCCTGCGGGAGAACACGAGGTTCTATTTTCGCCTTTGAAAGAGGTGCAGCGTGGGATACTGTTCGCATCGCGGGGTTTCCGTAGCGCGGTGCTTTAGTACCGTCAGCCTCGTCGTTTCGCGCGGAACTTGGACGCTTGGAATAGGTTCGTCACGCGCTGTAAAAGTTTTTCGCCGCACGCTGAAATCGGAACGCGGTTGGTGACCGTGTAATAGACAGACCGTGGTGTTTGTCGCTGCCTCCCGTAGCTGTTCGCAAGACCTTTCGGAAGTACGTTTCACAATTCTTGATGGAAGTGGATACGGAGAACGTCAGGATGGATAAAACGGACATCAACAGCAACGATAACGATGAGGCGCCCACCGTCGAAGAGAGTTACGAGATCACCACTACCAGGCGCAAAACTATTCGCACCAGCTATAAGATTCAGGAGGTAAGTTGTCAACGACAATTGCATTCATGATGTCCGCGATCATCGTAACTATCGAGGTAACTGCCGGCGCCGGAGGTAACTGCAGCGTGGGCGTTTATGTTGCTGCTATATGTGATTGTATAGCGGGGAGATTTTAGGGAGATAACACGTGTGAGAGCAAGTGAGTTCAGTGCATTCAGAAACGAAAACACGAACTGGTTTCTCTCTCTCTTATAATTAAATAAATAAAAATTAACTAGTTAAGATTTTACATGATTTCCGAGCTTCTAAGATTCAATGAAATACATATTTTTAAAATAGATATTTGAACTCCAAAAATTTTAGCGAATTTTCAAATCTAAATAGCTGAGATTTAAACACGAGAATTTCAATGAAATTGAAAATTGTTTATTTATGGAAAACTCTAAATAGATAAAATTCTGAAAAATGATTTTTATAGAGACTAGAAAAATGAGATAAAAGCTAAATATATACATATATTAACTCGCTTCACGATATTGATTCTATCTGTAATTTATTTTGGAACTCCGTATGCTCTGGAATATTATTGGTATCGTTCATGCGCGGGCGTGATTATACAGACGATAGATTCAGAAGATGAATTAGTAAACGTGAATTAGTAAACTGTTCCACCAGTGTTTATTATTACGTATATCCAGAGAAACGCATACGATGCAGTCATAGATGCAACGCAAAATTCGTCGTGCAGGTGCGTCAAAGCACATGTAATTTGCCAAATATCGGTCCAACTATCATTTATCGTTTATTTATCGTTTCGTGCCCATTGTTGTATGATTCATTGATATACTGAATTTGTTAATTCAAATTTAACGCGAAGTTTGAAAGTCGTAAAGTTTTTTTCACGATCTTGAGCTGCGGAGGAACTTGTATTTTTCACTCCGTTGAAAGAGAGGATCCGCTGTCCCTCGAAAAACAAACGGTCACGATCCTACGTCATTGTCAGGACGACGATTTTAGAACTGGCAACGAACTCTCTTCGAACGCAGAACCGACGAGCGACGTAAATGAGTGGCTGACGACCGTTGTTTGCGATCGGACTTCCGATGAACAATATATTCGTGTTCGTGTCTTCCTGTTCCACGTGTATCAAACGATTTCATAAATCAATCTTGAAGAAATTATTATCTCAATCAAAAAAACAGGAATGTCAAAATTAATATTATAAATATTCATTATTAAAAATTGATAACCGTAGCCTTTCTGAATAATATGAGACATTGATATTAATTGTGTGTGAGATCTTTTAGTATTAATATAAATAATTTTAGTTTACTAGAGTGTAAATTTTAATCAGCTTACTAAAGTTTTTATTTTTATTATATAAACTGACAAAAAGATATTAATAAATTAAAATTATATTATTTATATTAATATTAAGAGACTTCTCAGAAAATGTCTCATATTAATTTCGAAAAAAAGGTTGATATAGAAGGAATAACTTTTTATATTAGATTAAAGACAATATAGGTATATTTGTTGAAAAATATATTTAAAGCATCAAAATACAAATGCGGCCACAAACTGTTTACATACTAATGAAAATTGTGAAATTCTTGGCTTAAGTTCGAATGTCATTTCAACGCTGTTACGCCGAATTAACCAAAGAACTCGTTTGGTATAAATTATGAGTACATTGATATTGAACAACCTGAGATTTCCTGAATAAAAATAAAGAGAGAAAGTGTCTATGCGAAGAAATTAGCCGCAAAGAGGGTTTTAATCGAAGGAAATTGCGTAAAAGGAGAAAATGCGATGAAAGAGAACTATCGAACGAACATGATCTTGTCGTAAACTTGCTCTCGTTTTTCGCTTGTAATGCAATTAACGGTCACAAAGCTACTACCACGATTCTACATTTAAACGAGGAACGGCGCTTCGTTAAAGCGAAGCGTCTAAATTGCAGTCTACTTTGTCGAGGATAGCACGTGACAACATAAATTTCACCGGCGATCTGCTTTCGTGAAAGCGACGATCTGTTTCCTCCAGTGCTTGATGAAGATGCTCGCTTTTCGAACACCCTGTTGCAACACGACCATAGAAATTTAATCCGCGTAGCTAATTTTGAATTAGTATATGTCCTGCCAACTGTGCATTTCGTCCGCGATGCGATTCGCCATATCAAAAATGTGTAGAAATAATGGGTACTTGTAAACAATATAAGATATATCGCGCGTGCAAAGAGTTACGTAGATGATGGATTATTCGTAGGAAGATACTTCGGACGCGTGAAATATTGCAATAATATATGTTTTAACGTTATGATTTTCAAGGAGAATGACGTTATCTCGATATTAAACGCTTAATTTATACGACATTTTTGGAAAACCTTGAATTCTGTATATTTCCAGACTCAGTTACGTAGCCAAGGCAATCTAGCAATAATTTCTCGCGAGTGATGTACAATTCTTCGATGATCGTTCGCGGAACGATCGTCGAAGTCTCGTCTCGACCTCGATGCTATTTTAAAAGTACGTCAACGTAATCGCTCCATCATTCTATCTTGCAAAGTCTGCGGAAGCGGCGAGAGCAACGATTTATCGAACAAATAAATGTATTTGAATATCGATGTCGCTATTTTTAAGTCATGGATGATGGCTGAGTCTCGCATGTTCTCGACTTTATAATTGCAGAGAAAAACAGGTTCATGTTTATGATAACACCATCGGTTTCCGGATAGACATATGTTGAAAGCGATTGTCGGAATGCTTTGCTGGTCGTATGATATAAAGTGATGGACAGGTAAATTCAACTCGTGGACGAAGTGCACGGAAAGGCGAATGAAATTAACTGGACAAGATGTCAAACTCCAGCAAACAAACTTAGCAAACGTATGCGCGTATTACTTGACGCTAATGTTTAAGGGGGTAAAAGATTGGCGTTCCACTCGCTGTTGAATCGTTTCAACCAAGATATTATATAGAAGCTAGAGACATTTTAACTGGCTGGCTGAAAGCAAACGAAAGGTGAACCAATAAGACGAGTTAAACAAGTTTCTTCGTGGCAGCTGTTGTACATAATGTAGAGAAACGTCGGCGAATTATCTAGGAGGAGACCGGAACAGAAATCAGTTTAAGTGCTGCGTTTGCGGCGTTGAAGTTTGGAAATGTGCGTCACTGCAATATTAACATTCGGAGATCCAAAGTCTATCCGAGTAATAATTTGTTTGAAGACTAAAATTGTTTGATATTTATATCATAATTTAGAATTATTATTAAACTTTGTATAGATTTTTTACGAATGGATTTTTTAAGTTACTAATCTTCTAGATTTCGAAATCATGATTGAGTGCTTTCGATTAGCCAGATTTCTTTGTAGTATAATTAATTCTAAATAACGTCAAGAAAGAATTCGTCATTAGAATTCAGAATGAAAAGCGTAGAGGTTCTAATTGAAACGACAGGTATTTTCGAACTCTTGTCAAACGCTTTCTGCGAAACTTATGTTTAATTCACAAATGGCCAATGAAAGGAAACAGCTTGACAGCTAGATATAGAATTGTGAAAGAGGAAGAAAAGTTGTACGGGGCGAAAAGGAGAAAATACGAGACGCCTATAAACTCGGCGACCTGTTTTCGTAGTCCGCGAATTTGTCCCGCAAATTATTCACCCTGTTCTTGACGTCCAATTAATCATCGTAATTCTAAGTTATCCACTCGACTGACGATACCAGTAGTGGCAGCTGTTGAATTATTTTCGAGTTGCAGCCCCGCCCGATCTGAATGAGCTTTCTGTCTGCCATATTTCATAGAGAAATTGTGGAAAAGGATAAGAATATTCGTCGCGTTTCCAAGAATATCACCGATAGACTTTGACACGTCGTTATTCTTTCAGTAAAAATGCATTCGTCGGAACCAATACGAGCTTGTAACTTTTT